GAAATAGCTGTGACGGTGGGGATGAAGGAGGCACTTGATGCTGTCAAGTCAGTGAAATCCTGTAGGCAATGAGAAAGAAGATCATGAGTACATCTGATATACTTTCAGGAGGAGGGATACAGCGTTGCAGGATTGTCTATAAAAAGCTGTGTGGTTTAAAAATATCCATATGATGTCAACCATGACGTTACACTCTCCCTATGGGGTTTCCAGGTGGATGAATGAAACCCACCTTGCACTGTGTAGGTCAATGGGCTATTTCAAGCACAACGTCATTGGCTATCTTAATTTTTAAATAAGCTTGTGTTCATTAGGTTAAACTTACAGCTTTATGAGAATAATGTAGTGAGCTATGATGAGTTTTATTTGTCTAACTTGCATGCAAACAAATAGGCTACATTGTAATACAAGTTGAATAAACATGAACTGGACATACCTGAGACTGGGGAGATCCCATGCTGGAGTAAGATCCTGCCGGGGAGGGATAATATCCCACGGTGTCCCCGGATGGGGAAGCGGTGCTGCAGCGGGAGGAGGAATCGCACTCCGTGTTGAAAGTGGTAAACATCATCTTTCCCAAAAAAAACAAGTAGGAAGATCCAAACAAATGTGAACTTGAGTTGAGGAAATCCCTTTGTAGGTTTGAGAAAAACTCTTCACTTGCTGTTCCTGATATGTATTGCTCCTCTCGTTGTTCTGCTACTGAAAGTTTGAATGCCAACTGTGAGAGCTCGGAGCTTTTTATAGCCTGAGAAGGAAGGGCCGATGACGTAGGCAAAGGGGCGCGCTATTTACTTGACACCGGGAGGAAAAAAAACACACGAACACACACATAACAACGCTAAAATAAAGCCATATATTTCTTAAACATTGTTTTTAAAACACTAATACGTGATTATACAACGTATATCAGTGTTTTGTTTGAAGTTGAAGGTAACATTTAGAAATATTTGTTAAACTCAGCCTCGAGAAATGGAATATTCCAGGGATCCCCGCTACGTCATTTCCCATATATGGTGCATCCTGTAAAAAAGGGGCGGGTCCTGATGGGAAGTGGGCTACACCATGTGAGATTGGCGGACAGCGACATGACGTTATGTAAGACAACAAACACAGCGGCTGTTGTGAAAACCAAAGAACAAATGTAGACATTCTACACAGCAAAGTTCATCAAATATTCATTTGAACATTTATATTTGTCAAACAAAACGCATTAAAAAAACGGCTGGTGTTTTTTAACATTCAATTTGAACATTTTGTTATTATAATTATTAAAATAACCTCTATAGCAGAGCAGCAGTTCTTTTTTTAACGTCTCTGAAAATAGCCTTTAATGCATTTGTATAACTCAAAGGCATGACTCCATGCAAACCAAATTACGCTCTTATTTCCTTTAACAAATAAAACACTTGGAGGATCAATCAGGTACAGGGTTTTTTACATGTGTTGCAGGTTCAAACCCCACTGCAGTCAGCATGTCGTTGTGTCCCTGGGCAAGACACTTCACCCAAAATTGCTCCTGTGGTGATTGTCCACAGTATTGAGTATGTAATCAATCATCCATACTACAGGATTTGGTCTACCAGTTCATGTTAAGTAATGTCCCTCTTCAGACAGATCAGAAATCCCAGAATGCAATGGTGAAACAGCAGATTTGGATCTCTGCAAAGAGATACCAAAACTAAAAACTGTAGTTCAATAACTTATACTACATCACCGTCACAAAACAAAACATTAAAACTAAGATGTGAAAGGATGTACATTCTTAGATGGAATGCTTAGACCACTTTGCCAAAAACACAACAAAGTATGTCTATGTAACTCTCCTTCCTGTAATTGTTTAGGGTAAGACCTATGGGTAAGACTCATGATGCTTATCCGAGTTTAAGTAAATGTGTTATTTGAATGTGATAAAGGCAAATGCGTAATTTGAATCAAATTCAAAACAACTAGGCTATCTAAGCAAAATGGCAGGAACATCATACGAACATGTCAGAGCAGAGGTGATTGCGTGTGCTCTGCCCGCAGGCATTGCTTGTACTTTGTGCGTGCAATCCTCTCAAGGGTGTGTTTGGCAGCAGAGCAAGCTGATAACTGGTTTGGTGTGTGTACTTTTCCACAACAGCAGTTTACCTTTCTCAACGATTTCGTTACAGGCGTGATCATAAAGGTCTTCCCTACAACTGTGGTAAAGGGAATCCTCATGATTTACATAACGAGCTACATGAATCACTAAATGCCGCTATAGGCATGGAGCCAACATTTTGACTTTATTGCTCTTCAAATTAAGTGTTTAACTTACTCTTCACAACTGATTTTCCTATAGCTCTTAATAAATAGGTAGGGCATTGAGTTCAGTTTTCTTAGTGTGAGCAATATTCTGCAGTTAATATTACTGTTGACTAAGCATTTATAGAAAGTAAAGAATGAGCAGACAGCATAAGCTCTGGCCACAATATTGATATATACACAACATTTGCATTATGTTTTCCTCTTTCTTTGTATTCTTATTTGTCCTATTGGGGTTGTATCTTTGTTTGATTCATTGAATTTAATGGTATTGACTGTGAAGCACTTTGGGTCAGTGCTTTGTGTATTACTATGTCCCTCTAAACAGTGTATAGGCTGGCTGAGTTGTAAGAGAAAGTGTGAATTAATGTTAACATAATAAAGGTACAAAGTGTTGATAATGTGTTTTGGTTTAATTGTGTCAAAGTGCATCAATGTAGGCTAAAGCAGTTTTGTTTCCCGCGCTCATGTTATGTTGAACATTCCTGGTTGTCGTAGCAACGCTCCACCCATTCGCGTCAGTGACGTGCTAATTTTGCATAGCAACAACGATCGTTTGTGTTGTTATGACGGCTCACTCAACAGAGTAAAACAGAAACCGGCTCTTAAGCAGTGTCTCATAACACACGTAGTAACGCTCCTGGTTCCTGAGATCAGCGTCAGAGTGAGAGCTCTGTCTGTGTTGAGGCTCTCAGACAGACAGCGGCGGAATGACAGAGGACTCCGACCAACCCGTTTACTTCCAGGACTGCTGGAGTAGTTTGTTTTACTGGTTGGCAAGAGCAGCAGCTTCCAATTAGCAATGCTGACCTAGACTTTGTGTTACCTTAAGAACAATGTTTAAGTTATTCAGAAATAAGAAGTATTGCCTTGAAATAAAAGATTGGTTATCATATAGGCTAGCATGTCTTGGTGACATAATACAAATAATCCCCAAACCTGTTCAAATTAAAAGAATAAGATTGCAGAAGCACATCTGGAAATAATGGATGAAGTTGTATTCAAAAAGATGACATTTGGGGAAAGAGTTCAGTTACTCCAATACATTTTCCAACTGTATTTTTATTTATTATAAATATACCCCGTGCCTTTTCATTTGAGGACAAATTCCCTCACATGGCAACAAAGGCATCATCCAGTAGCACAGTTAATGATCTATTTGCCTAATTTACATGATCTTTGAACGCTGATCTCACGGAGTCTATAAATACCCTCACGCATTCACGCTCAAGTTGCTATGATGAAAACAAGACTTTGAGCTGCGAGAGGTGTCTGGCGTGATGTGCAACCTTTGAACCCTTTCCAGTCTTCAGCCGCCGGCGAATGAATGGGCTCAAGCCGACCACCTAATGATGTGCCGGAAAACAAACCCAAAGGGGGCTGTGACTGCCGGGAAGCAGCCGGGAGCGCAGCCCGTCTCTGAACTTTGAGAGGCCCCCTCTATTCACCAACTATCCCTTTCAGAGGATCTGTGAGGTCATGTGAAATCTAAATATAGCATACTATACAATCCCTGTTGTTATAGGAGATTGTTTAGGCTGTGCGGGAATACGGCTTACATAATTGGTTTCGATAAATTGCATTAGGAAAAGAAACAGTGCACATTGCGAGGAAATCAGCCACCACTCAATTAGCCTGGTTATACATTTACAAAAACAGAGGTTTAATATTTTGTCATTCTCTGCAATAACAACCTAATGGTGTGTATTTATAAATGCATTAGGCCTACATATAGATTTTCTGCGTAAATATGCAGTGTGGACTATATTTATTTTGATATTAAACCGGTGGGTCAAGTGCAGTGGGCTTCCATCGCCTCCATGTCCTAAATGTAGCACAATGACGCTTGTATCAGGTACAATGCATGACAAGACTTTTAGCGCTGTTTCACTTTCTTTGTGAGTGTGAGTGAGTGGGCCACACACAGCCACACGTCCGTCTGCGCGTTCTCCGTGCGCCACAGCGCGCCCCTTGCCTACCGGAAACACCATATATGGCTCGGTCGGTCCAGTCGGCGATTGGCTGCTTCACTAAAGCGACAATTCTGTTGCTGGAGCTCTATTCATATGCAGAGACAGGTGGAGAAAAAATAGGCATGTGATATATGGATCCACTTCATTTAGCAGCTCATAAATAATGAGCTGGTGTGCTGAAAGATGTGTGTGTTCATTTAATCATGATGGGTTTTGTAATATTGTTCCAAATAATGTGTTAGGACACCTTTGATAATGCACTGTATTTTTTATCAAGTGTTCTTATCTAACATAAAGGCAAATATTTTAAACTGTGTTTTATTGCAATCCCTTATCCTGCAAGAACAGTTCTGTTTCCATACATCATCGGATTATTATACGGTGTACATATGTGGACGTATAGGGAACATAATCTATATGATGCAGATGCTGCATACATAAAATGACGTAGGCCTAGTTCATTCATGGCGATAGGCACCTCATGCAGGCGGGGGTGTCACTTAATATAGGCTCGATATTTTTTGATACACGACTTAATAAAATAAGTACAAATAAAAGGGCTGCTGAAGTTGTTGTTCAGACATTCCACGGATTTAATTGTTCAATTGTAAAAACATCTGCTCGCTTTTTTTCATATTCTCCTATCTCTCTCTCTGTGCGATGGTTCGGTCTCACCACACAGATTTCATTCATAAAATTCCAGCTCACTATAAAAGGCAGGGCCTCTCCACTATCTGCACAGTTACCATTTATGAACGTGGCAAATGGGATACAGTTAAGGCTTAAGACGACTGTTTTCTACTTAGATCAGATAGACTAATCTCTCTTTTTATGCAGTGATTTTTAGACGAGAACATGCATCCAGACTCCAACACTGAGTTCGACTCATCGTCCAGCTGTAGCACAGCATCGCCTGGCGGGGACACCCCTGGGTGCAGCCAGCATCCTCCTGACTCGCTTTCATCATCAGTGGACAGCGCAAAGGTAGACGCGGATCTGATCATTCAACATTTTTTATCCTCACTCATCTTGTGGGATCATTTATGCATATACGGCTAATTTAGGTTGCAAAAGTATACACATATCTAAGAACATTTCATAGACAGCCTTTTTCTGTCCCGTGCTGAAAACGATTCTGTAGACAGTCAATCTATATTTTCTATAGGCCTATGTAGGATATCTGCAAAGACACCACACGAATGTGTATTCTTATTTGAAGGAAATTGTTTGTAATATGTTTACTTTGAAAAGACACGTTTTGTTCGTGACCTTTCATTTGAGTGATGATGATGGTGATGAAGAAAGCGAGTGATTAGGACGTGACGACAAGTCATGCATCTGATTTTGATAGATTAGATTGATTTTGTGTTTTGGCATCTCTTTGCCAAATGATTGATGTACCATTTAGACACATCTAAAGGTCAGCCACGAGCGTGGTTCCTCACTCATCAGATAAGATAAATTAGTGTTTGACTGCATGCATATGCCTTTCTGATGTGGGTTTTTCCAGGATACTGAGACCAGCGGAGCAGACTCCTTTGTTCCGACTGTGACTGCAATCTCAACCTCGCCGGGTCTCATGTGGATGGTGCAGCCGACAGTCATCACATCTGTCTCCCCATCGGCCGGCCGAGCAAAGACCAAAACTCACGGCTCGTCCAAGTCGTCTTCCCCGGCAGGTGCAAAAAAGACAAAGCCCTCCAACAGGAAAGGGCTGAAAGACAAGGTATGCAAGAAAGCAGGGGGAGGGGCTACTGAAATGTGAGTTTCAGAGATTACAGGTTACAGGTTAGCCAATAAATCAACCAAACGGTCAGTACAATAATCCGTATCATATCCCTCTCCCCTGACAGAATTTCATATGAAAAATGTAGTTATCGCGATATTTTTTAAATAACGTAAAATAGGAAAAACATGTTTTAATTTGTTTCACTGTTAAAACGTAGTGAGAGTGCAAATGCATTACTGCGGGAATAGCACATGAGGTGATTGGATAAAGTCTAATTGGTGCAGCAAGTAATCACTTTTGGAGTAACGAGCACGCAGCGCTGTTTATGAATGGGATGGGAAATTGCATAAAACTGCGCGTTCACGTGTTCGACTAGACCGTGCCAGTGGTGCAGCATTTTAACGCCTGAACTGGAGCAGCGTCTGCACCGAGCAGATCAGTATTCCCAGCATACACTGCAGCGAACATCTTTTTTCTTCCTCTTTTTGGCAAGTGAAATGGTGCTGGAGAGCCAACTGCTGATATGGCAAACCTCAGCAGCAGGATGTCGATTAATAGGCTATTTCTCATTGATTTCAGGCGTCCAAAGAGGAGGAGGAAAGGAGGAGGATCAGGAGGGAGAGGAACAAAATTGCTGCAGCAAAGTGTCGTAACAGACGGAGGGAGCTGATAGACACTCTGCAAGCTGTAAGTATGCTGTTTTATGCCATCATATAGAGCACATCTGCACACAAGCTGAGGACATACAGCACTGCATGTCAGTAGTCATTAGGCAGGGATGAAAGCAGAGCAACCAAAGGCAGAGGCCTCCCCATGACAACTAATTCTTCTGATTTGTTCCTCCTCACCTCAGGAAACGGACAATCTCGAAGACGAGAAGTCTGCCCTCCAGACGGAGATAGCAGAGCTGATGAAGGAGAAGGAGAGACTGGAGCAAGTCTTGATCTCCCACCAACCATCCTGCAAGCTCCCTGCAAATGACAATGACGATGAAGATGATGAGGAGAAAGATAATGAAGATGATGCTGACACAATGCTGCAGGATCCTCCGGCTTCCCCACAGCTCCTGTCCATCTTAGAGGATGAAAAAAGCCCAGAGAGCACTGCAGCCATAGAAGAAGCATCTATTGGCCAAGACATGGACAGTGTCCCTTGCATCCCTGCTGCAGCCATTTTGGGGAACTCCAACATCCTGCTGTGTTCGAGTGCAGAGGAGGAGGATCTGGAGGATTTAAGAGGAGATGACTTGGATGACTTGGTGCCCAGTCTGGAGATGGCAGAGACTACAGAGATGGCTGCATCCGTCCCTGACATTGACCTGAGCGGGCCCTTCGGCCTCTCAGACTGGGAAACGCTGTACAAGTCTGTGGCCAATGACCTTGAAACGTTGAGCTCTCCAGTCATGTCTTCCAGTCCCACTTGTAGCAATTACCGCTCAGTGTTCTCGTTTAATTACTCTGAGATTGATTCCTTCGCCGAGGGCTTCGAGAGCCTCAAAGGCAGCCTGGGTGCGTCTGAGTCGATGAAAGATAGTCTTAACTCTCCGACACTTCTGGCCTTGTGAATGCAAAACAAATTATGCAAAGTTCTAACCAGCCAGCAAGCTATGATATCTCCCTCGAAAAACAATGTTTTGTAGTGTGAGTTTTGATGTTGTGTAAAACTGAACATCAGAGGTTGTGTACATGACATGTTTAATGTGACTGTAACAGGGTTGACTTCCTCCATACTGCTAGTGCAATTCTCTGTGGTGAGACTTTGCGCTGGCGACAAAAATGCATGCAAATACAAGTCATCTGTAATCCAAGAAGAGGTGGTATCTTGTGTTTCTAAATGTGATGTGAAGTTAGATCATGTTTAATAGACTAATGTATGTGTAATGCTGTTGAAAAAGTTGTGTTGTAACAAGTGAAATAGCAGGGTTACTAATGTGTAGTGTGAAGGTGTCACATCTTGCTGTAAGGTGTCCCCTAACATGATATTTCCTTTCAAGTTTTTCCATTAAAAAAAGATCACTTCATGTATTTTATCGAGATGTATTTTATGACATAGTTTATTTTTGTACTTATCAAATATGATCAGATGCAAAAATTGTATAACGCTGGAATTAAAATATACCAAGACCAATATCCTGCTTTTGTTATCATTCATGCAGTTTAAGGTATAGCAGTCATTCAATTGTAGATGTTTAAAGTGTTTTTCCAGAGCATTTTAAGGGTTTCTTGTCTTTAAAATGTTGATCAACTTGTCTCATAACCTGATGATAATGGTCTATGATTAAACGCTCAAAGAAACTGGTTCTTAATGGACCTTAGTGAAATGCTTTCTTAACTCAATTTATTATTTTGAACCTCAACTTTTTAAACCTATATAGACAAGAAAATCTAAAAAAAAAGTAGGCTATAGAAAAATAGGGAAATAGGAACATACATTGAATTTATTAAGCAAACTACATTGAGATATATTCTCAATAGCTCCAGAACAGCTATACTTAATGGACCTTGTGGCTGCTTTGTGACATTTCCAAGGTCGAGAATGAGCTCAGTTTATAAGCCAAGAGCAAAACAATTGATCCTGAGCATCTACATTTATATGATCACTGTTTAATTTCCATCTGCTCATAAAACAGATTTCAATTCAATGATATAACTTAGGCTACTTCATTGCGTCAAAAAGAGGGTCAAAATAGAATTGAGGAATATTAATACATTCAGCTGTGTCCATAAAGATGTCAGTGAATCTATTTTTGGATTCAGTGTTACATAAAGTACAACCACCGGGGATTGAATCGTGTTTAAAATGAGTGGGAGCAGCCGAAGCAGCAGGTTCATTATTTATTCATAGCTCGTTCTCAGCTCCACTATTGTCACGGTCAAGGGAATCCGAATCATCTACAGCGGCGCAGTGCGTGCCACGCCTGACGTCAGCACGCACTTGTCATTCACGTTTCACTTCCGTTGACCATGTTTGGGTAATTGCAGTTGTTTTGTTTCCATGGTGACGGGGTGTCATATTTCGGGGCTGCTCGGAGAGGGTTACCGGAAAAGCTCGAAGCAGGAGCGAGCAGAAGAGGATACTTTCTCATCAATTACAGAGCGGGCATCACGTGCATAGTGATAAGTGGTCTAGTTAGTAATGTAACGCTGCCAAAGCTTTCTGGGAATAGCAAACAGGGCATTTAAAGACCACAGCCTGTGTTGATTCGTCCTCACGGTAGCAAAGCAATAACACCGCAGTGGATGCTTAATGTAACCACAGTCAGACCAAACCAGTAAGCCTTCATTTTATGAATGCATATCAGCAGGCATGGCAACATCTACCATGTTTCCATGTCGTTGTTTGTGCCAAATGCAGTCTTTCTTTTTCATCAGTAGGGGGAGCTACAACTGTGGGCTTCTCTTGATTTTAGCAACTGTATGCAACAAATTAGAAACGGCCCTGAACAGACTTCCAAACCACAGCAAAAATAGACATTGACAGTAAAGCACAGGTCATTTAATATCATGATATATATGTACATTTCAATATCATGTGCATTCTTGTTCAAAATAACTTTAAATAACCATTGTGGGCATGTTACTTTGCTATCTTAGTCTACTTATTGTAATATATGTATCCTACTTAAGTTTTTTGGGTTAAACTTCTTTTACAGTATACTGTATATGTTTTGTTATTGTGTTTATGCTGTTGTAACTTTACAAAATTACTTGTATTGCTTATCTATAGTCACAGGTGTTCGTAGTCTGTTCAATTTATTTGTTATGTGTATATTATTGGATATCATTTGATCCATACTTGATCTCTTTGTTATTATAATAACATACACAGTTAGGTCACATGGAATTTGTACCAATACAAACTAATTGTGCTTTGGGAGAAGGTGTCATATGTCTGGCTAATAGAGCCAATTAAATGGAAAATGTTTTAATTGTGTACGCAATATCTTGGTGCCCGACTATTTTAGAGCGATGATGGATGAGCCTGTTAACATCTGTGATACTGACTCACTCTTTGTTCACTTGCTCCACCAAACTGTGTGTAAAGGAGTGCAGTGTCCTCCAATGCCTGTTTCAAAGCATTTTATGAAATGTTCCTTACCACCTAAAGTGTATTCAAGTTGAATGCTTTAAGTATATCTTGATGCTTATTTTGGACATTCACTTAATGAAATAACTTTACTTAGTATTTATTTTACGTTTACTGAAGTTAAAGATCTGAGCACTTCTTCCACAAATGTTTAGATCATTGCAATTATTTTAATGTACTATGTATTTTTTAAGCAGAATTTAAATGTTGTAGAGGGCCAAGAGGGAGATTACAAAAAACTTGAAAAGTATAACTATGCAACATCTTTAGTAAACTCATTATGTTTTGTTGGCAAAATCTGAATCTGCAAAGTAAACAGCATAGCTTTAAAATAAATGTAATGGAGTATTGAAACAGGGTACATTCCTCTAAGAATACATGTAATATAAGTACAAAGTGGAATAAGATGAAAATATATTGTGTATTGTGTACACACAGTCTATATTGGTGTTTATTGGTATGTTTGTATGATTATATATCACACCATGTACAATTTGAATTGTACATTGTTAAGCATGGACTTGCCCTGACAATTAAATAAGGAAGCAAACATGAAGAAGTGGTCTTACTGCAGTGAAGTTAAGGATGGGATGGCTCACAGCAGCATCAGCACTCTGTAATATGCGCCTGGTTACAGATCTCTATCTCTCTATTATTTGTTGTGTGCTCACTGTTTCCACCTCTGTTATCTCATCCTCATACACCTCCTGACCACTCGGGTTCCTGCTTGCTGTGATATTCCCAAGGAAGTGCTATATTTACAGTAATAAATCAATGTCATACGGGTTTGGTGAGACTGGGTCACCTGACATGAGGAAGGCTATGAGAGAGCAGTTGTAACAGAGCCATAGATAGAGTTGCTGATGTGAACATGAACTCAAACAATAAATAAATGTTCCAGCGGTACACGTCAATACGTCAAGGGAACAATAGGAAAAACAGGATCTTGTGATGATTTGGTACTTTATTTTTAAATTATTCCATGTAATCTCATTTAGTTACTGACAGTAAAAAACTCCAAAGGTTGTATTCATTGTTTTCTTCTACATGATACCAGTGAATCTAGACCTGAGCAATAATAACACTGGGATCTTTTACCAACAATGTAGCCTGTTTATGTGAGAGGGATGAAGATGAAGAGGGTTTAAAGTCTACGCTTGCACACAATTGGTGCACTTAGTGATTGATTTAGTATCTTTCAAGGGAGTGGATGTGAGTCTGCTGCAGCATCACAATCCAATCCATTAAGGAGGTCATGTTTTTCTATAAGTACACAGGAGTGTCCTGTAGAGTGTTTGTTTATTTTTGGAAAAGAGGAGCTTTTATATTGAAACTACTTTTTAATTAAGGCACTGATTGTATATATAATGTATAGTCATTTTAGGCAAATAACACTATTTGCAATATGTTGACATTCACCGACTTAAGTATGACAAAATCCTATTTGCCCCTTTTTACCATTGTTGTCAGAAAAAGGGAAATATCATAATGCACCGTTTCCAAGATGTACAGTTTTTTTTATAACCTGCATAATTACACATCGTTAGACATATTTTGACGAGTGTCTGGGATTATTTTGAAAGAAAAAAAGGGAAGGAGGGAAGTGGATTCATGGAGTGGTAGTAAAAATAACGTTGTTCTATAGTACCATCTGCATTGTGGTGAACGATGAGTCAAGACTGTGTCTGGAGGTGTCTGGTTTTGTGGGTATTTCCCAAAGATGTGGTTCTGGATAATATTGTGACAAAAACAATTTAAACTTACCCTGCAGATGTATATCAAGTATAAAAACTATGAAAAATATGACTGACTTGTTCACATCTTCAAGTAAAGAGGACTATAACATGTTAAGGATATGCTGGTGTTTATGCATACAAAATGACAAAACGTGTGTGTGTAAATACCTGTCATAAAACGTTAGAGAGACAGAAACACACATTTCTTAGTTATAAGAAATAAGTTAAAAAGCTGTTTCATTGTTTTTACCTTGCCTTCAGACGCCCACGCAGTAAGAACTCTGCAACAGTTTGGCAAAGCTGCAAAACCACAAACTGCTCTCCGTCGCCTTTCATCATTCAGGCAGCTGAAGGAAAGTGCAAAGAAGATTATGTTTGAATGCAAAGGCTTTCTGGATGATCAGAACAGACAAAAACTAAATGTTTATTCAAAGTTTTTACACATAAAAATGAAAAATAACTCATAACATATTGCTAAACAAACATTACAATTAATCATGGCATCATGTGTAGTCAAAAAGGGTCTCTTAAAAAATAAATGCAATATAAAAAAAATCTCAAAAAGAAGCAAGAAATGCAATGAAGTCAATCAATAAATAAAAATAGCTAAAAATAAGGGTTAATTTTGGACATTATTAGAATAAAAGCAGTTTAGCACTTCATCACTTTGTTAATGTATGATAAGTATTTAGAGGGTCCATCAGTTTAAAAAATATGTCTTACTTTATATGAACTTTTGCTGTATTTCTTTCCATTAAGTACACTTTTATTCACGTGTCTTGCCATTAGTAGATTTGGGTTGCATTGACTTAAGCACAGATAAAGTTATATTTATACTTTTAACCACCAATATAAATTGACATGCAGCAAGTAAGCCTTTCTACAACTTTATAGATGCTCTTTAAAAACGTTTGTGGGACAAATTAACGTGCTCTGCATACTTGGTCTGCATATCCTGACTGGTATATTTGTTCAGTTTGTCATTATCAAAGCTTATTGTTCTTGGCAGGGACCATTCCCCTCTTAAAGGCTTAAAGTGCCAAACAGGGCAGCACCATGTGTGTTCATGTACTGAGTGACATCTCTGGCTGCCCTCCTGCAGGCCCGAGGAATTCAGCTGAAAGTCTACACCTGCGACAGGAAACCTCGAAACTGTCTACAGATGCACATTTTAAGGGACCCTCCTGTTTTATGAAATATGTCTGCTTTTCGGCTCAGTTCTGCTTTATTAACCCCAAATGCCCCCCCTTTAGAGTTTGTCATCCATGTAAAGTGACGGTGACGCACAGGCCCCC